AACCAGAAGAAAACTCAGAGATTATATTGTGGTATCTCCCTGCAGTCAATTTTCAACTTCATTGTTGTTGTTGGATTGCTTTTGTTGTGTTCGTCTGTAATTTTCAAGTTCCAACAAATCGATAACAAGCTGAAAGGACTTCCGGTAGGAATACAAACAGGTCCATTTTATTTTCCCATTAAATTCGTCGGAAGGAGATAATAAGAAGCTCTCGATTGCACTGCGCAGTAGGACATAAAACGTAATGACGTCACTTAAGAAGTCATATCTGCGCATGCGAGAACGTTGAGTTTTGTTCAATCGTGATGATAGACCTACGTTGTGCAAATAAAATCTAATTAATTTTCCCCATGCCCCAATATTACTATATTAAATTACATACTATCTTCTTTTTTTTTTTTCATAAACATTTTTGACAATAAAGGGCACTTGAATGGTCCACTGATTAATCTCAAATTTAGAGATAGTATAATACATACTCCAAGTATCGAAATGCACGCCATCGTGTCGGGATTCAATATTTCGACATTAATTATGTCAAAATATTAAATCCCGGCACAATGGCGTGCATTTCGATACTTGGAGTATGGCTATCTTAAAGGGCACTTGCTGTATCAATATTAGGCAGTCATTCTGTATGCACATGAATCTAGACTGGATCAATGGCCTAGTTGAAAATTATATACTTTAAAAAGAAATTTTCACATCACATTCTGAATTCCAGACCTGAAACCTGAAGCATCGTCGCTGACAGATGATAAGCCTAGCTGTGAAATTCAGTGTAAGTTTGATTTGATTCCGTTGCAGATCCAGCGGGGGGAGGGGAGGGGATGAGGGCCCGTGCCCACCTCCCGTCAATCAAGCCGAAACATAAAAAAGGGTGACAAATTTGAGAATACAGGAAAGAGCAAAAAAAAAGGAGTGCACCCATGGGTTCAGTGGCAATACAGCAGTGGGCGAAAGGAGAGCTCGATTATTTACCACTTATCTATGGGCTGAGATGGGCGTGGCGGCGTGAACTTCATATTGTGACCCTGCCCTCCCCCCACACGTCAGAAAATCTCAGGATCCGCCCCTGTGACTTAAGGTCTGCCCACATTACACATTATGTGTCTTTTTTGTATCAATAATTTAGATTGTTAAAATATATTTTTTAGCTAAATCTCCATAACCAGGATAGTTTAAAATTTACAGTTTTGTATATTATTTTGAAGACGCCATAACCAACTTGACTACGTGTGTTTCGTTGCAGATTTGTCCGAAATCTTTGGTAAATTTAGCCCCCGATGCTTTATAAGGCTTGGGGTGGATAGCATCATTTGAAACAATTCATTATTTACTATTATTATAAATAGATATTATAAATATGACGGTTGTTAAACTTTAATCATTGAGGTGAAAGGGGACCCATTGGAAAGACAGGTATGGTGAAAATCTATATCAATTTTTTACCAATAATTTAGAATTTTAAAATATTAATTTTTAGCAAAACCACATGATTTATTAAAATCTACGTGATATATTAAAATCTCAGAATTCCTATATTAATATGTATTGTCCACTGGGACATTTCGTCTTTGATAATTTATCCCCGGCTACGTTATGAGGCTTTTGGGAGTGGAGTGGATAGCTTCATTGAAACACTTCAGTTTCTATAACAATATCTTTAAGGGATACACACTACACTGGAACTTGTAGCCTATCAAAGAGCGTATTTGACAGAGGCCTTGTATCATGCGATACATGCACTTTACTACATTGTTTAATGAAACCTACCTACAACATGCAAGTTCTAATGCAGCCTTGTCATATACACTATTAATTGTTCTCCTCTTCTAGGTGAACAGGTAGTACAAGGACCGCCAGGTCGACCTGGCTCACCTGGACCAAAATATGTACCAGGTATATTACTACTTTATTCTTGAGCAAAGACTATCATAACTGTACAGAGTGAGTTGTTGGTAAAGAACTGTATGTCCGGAAATGAAATGAAACACAAGAGATTTTATTTGGCGATTCATTTCCATTAGTTTAAACAATGACTACTGAATGTATTGATATAAATTATAGTAAAATGTGCCAGATAAATTGTAGACCTAATCCTCTCTCTCTCTCTCTCTCTCATATATAAATCATCAAAGAAAGGTAAATACAGTGTTCGAATAAAGGACTTAATAAATACATCGTGTAGCATAGCTCTCAACGAATGTAGA